CGCGCAGCGCGCTCCGTTTGCAGACCGCCCTGGCGGACTCGTTTACACTTCCAAGCTCAATCCAGGCGCCGCAGGCCATAAAGAGGAGCGCAGATTAAAATGGCGCCGCAGGCTCCCCGGGCCGTCCGCGCACAGACCACAGGAAAAAACAAAAATCTATAAAACATCTATCAACACCACTAGGGGGTGGGTGGGCTCCGATCTCCCCATCTCCAATATTCTCTAATCCACAGCGTCGTCATCTTAGGCCGGGGATCCAGTCAGATCTCCGATCTCCATCTTCAATCTCCAATCTCCAACGTCGTCATCTTAGGCCGGATTCAGTCAGAACTCCGATCTCAATCTCCAATCTCCAATCTCCAATCTCGATTCGGGGGCCCGGGGGATGAGGGGGGCTCAAACCTTCAAGGAGATGCAATTTGGATTCATTCACACTGACCATCTCTCGTCTCCAATCTCCAATCTTCTACTTGGCCACTGTCGCCGCCGGCAGCAATCTACGACCTCCATTTTCAATCTTCGATCTCACATCTGGGGCGGATGGCTGGGCGCTAGGATGTACAATCTGCATTCTCCATCTCCTATCTCCACATTTTGGCCCTGTTGCTGCTCAGAGCGATCTGCAATCCACGATCTCAATCTTCGATCTTTAGTCTTGAATGGGGAACCGGACAGGAGGGATCTACTGGCGAGACTTGGGCGTGTCCGTGTGAGAGATCCGCTAGGATCTCCAGTCTTAATCTACTATCTCTACCCCAACGATCTACTGGTCTTGCGCAGAGATTTCCATTACTCCCGCGCACACCGGTAGGGGGCCCACAGCGCCCCAAAATCCACCAGTGTGGGATTTCGCGCAATCACTTGACTCTGAAAAGCTCACATATCCCTGCGGTGAGCGCTGTGGTCGCCGCAGACTGGCTCCGACTTGACGGCGGCATGGAGACGTGATGCCTCCATGCCGCCGTCGAGTCAAAATCTTCATGCGAGTCGATCTTTGGCCCGCCAGAGGGATATGCGGCGTTTCGGGCGACAAGCAGCGCTGCGACCGCGAAGTGGCGGT